GGGTGCTCCTAGGAGATAAACTAATAATCAAATAAATGCGAAACATACATTGGAATGGGGAAGGGATACATGTAATTTACACGGGATTGCACGAAATAAAGGGGTCTCATTGTCAGGTAGCCCAAGAGAAAGTCGTGTGTGTGCATTTGTGTCCTAAACTACGCCTTGAGCAAAATCGGGAACGACTTAAAATCAAGATACCTGCAAATAACCAATGATACAACCGTCCACCAATTCGGCTTTTAGGAGTTTCGATAATTTATAAGTGTTTTCAAATATGGGTGAGTGAGTATGAATAATGAGATATGATAATAAATAATATGATATGAATAATGTTTGACAGAAATTAAATTTAATGTTAGTTTACCGAAATAAAATCGAAAGAATAAAGGTGATCTCGGATCCTTTGTTTCACGCCACTAATGTGACGGTTAAACGGTGAAAGTCTCGTCATCGACCAAAACAAATGAAAATGGGATAAAGAGCCCAAAAATAAAATAAAAAAAAAAGAATTCAACTTCTAATAAAAAATATGATTCCAAACTAAAATATAAATTGAAATTCTAATAGGATATAAAGTCTAGAATAATAAGTATAAACTCTAAAAGTATAATATAATATAAACAAAGTTTAATTAAATTATATAGAAAATAATGTACAATATACATTCTAAAAGAAATCATAAAACTAATATACAATATATTCTAAAATATGTAAAAAAGAAATTAATATATAATACATAAGTTTAACAGTAATTTCTTAAAATAAATATACAAACTAAATTAAATAACATACAATATAATATATATATATATATATATATATATATATATATATATATATATATATATATATATATATATATATATATATATATATATATATATATATATATATATATATATATATATATATATATATATATATATATATATATATATATATATATATATATATATATATATATATATATATATATATATATATATATATATATATATATATATATATATATATATATATATACACATACGTACAAATCTAAAAAACTGTTTGATAATATATTACAAATTGCTAAAATATAACTATGATATTTATACTAATAAAATATTAATAATTATTTTTACAAAAAACAAAACCCTCATTACCAATAATGAAACGGGAACAGTATCACAAACTACACATTACTTTAATTTTTTACAATATCTAAAACCAAGGTGGAATAATAGCAGTAAAATCAAATCCCAATACTAATAAACCAAAATGACAAGCATGATGAAAACAAATTGAAAAAAAGGTGAGTCAAAAGCTACCATCGCCGTGTAGCTACTGCGGCTGTCACGGAGCTGTTTCTGTTGCCGTCAGAGCAAAATTACTTCTTGGGAACCACTCGAGTACACGAACACACAGAGCTTTGGCTAACCCTTGATAACATCGTGAGACCGAAACGGTTTTGGTGAATGACTCTGAACCATTGTCTAAGCTTCAGAACTCGTGGAAAAGTAAACCAAAACCCATCTCGTTTTCTGTTTTACGCGAGCGCCCGACGACAAAGTTTTGTGACGTGCCGGAAAGGGAAAACGGTGCAGCGGCAGCTAAGGTTGACGAGATTGAAGAAAGAAGAAAGTCGACGGTGGAGTTATGAGAAGGAGATTATGGGTTTGCCGTGAAGCTTACGGTTTGAATTTATGGGAGGTTTTTGGAAGGATTCGAGTGGGTTGAAACTGGGTAGTGTTGGTTTTCGGTGGATATGGTTTACGGTGAAGATTCACGGTTGGAAGTGGTGGTGAAGTTTTTTTCAGATCATGAAGACGGATATTTGCTGGTGTTGATGAATGAACAGGCAGCGGATGAATAGTGCTAGGGTTGGCTGAAGCTGGGAGGAGATGAATAGTAATGGGGGTATTTATATACTCGAGACTTGGCACAACTTAGGATTAATGATTAATTAAAACTGCTGATTAACTTAATAATGACAACTAATAATTCTGACGGTTAATTAATAAAAATAAATTAATCCTGATACTAAAAATAAAATCTTAACAATATTAAAAAAGAATAAACCTATTTCTAAGCTAATAATATTAACAAAAAAAAATAAAATAAAAAGATTAACAAATTAACAAACCTATTATTAAAAACAAATAATTAAAAACTAAAAAAAATTCTATGCTAAAACTACTTCTAATAAACAATAAATAAAACCTATTTAAAATGAAAATTTAAGAATTAAATTCTATGCTAAAAGTAAAACAAATAACTACTCTAATATTATAAAAAAAACAAAATTCTACACCTAATTAAATTAGATCAATGCTAAAACAAACATATATACAAAAAATCAATATATGCAAGGGAAAAAAGAGAAATTAAAAAAAAGTGAAATTTTACGAAAATACCCTTAGGCCACGTGTCACGCTCCTATTGGACAAAAAAAAAGTGGAGATTTGAAAAACGCCCAATCGGGGCGGACACGTGTCTAAACGGCATGAAATAATAAATGCGAAAATATTTACGAAAGGGGTAGGACAAATTTAGGGTATGACAGAACCCACAAAATCATGTTTGGTCGCGATGATCATCTTTTCCTTATTTTTTGGGTTTCTTATCATTATTTCACCTATCCTTAGGAATAAATAACGTACAGTGGCGACTCTATGTTATTTCGAGCATTTAGACGTTCAGATTTTTTTTCTCTTAGTAATAGGCGGCAAGGATCCCACTTAGGTATTCAACGTTTTGATCGCCTCATAGGACAGCAAGGACCCCACTTAGGGATACATCATTTTGATGATCTCATATGGAGACAAGGATACCACTTAGGGATCCAACATTTTGACCACCTCATAGTGCAACAATAATCTCACTTAGGGATCCAACATTTTGATCGCCTCATAGGAAGGAAATGATCTCACTTAGAAATCCAACATTTTGATCGCCTCATATGGCGACAATGATCTCACTTATGAATCCATCATTTAATCTCCTTATAAGGCGGAAAGTATCCCACTTAGGGATCCAACATTTTGATTGCCTATGAGGACGACAAAAATCTCACTTATGGATTCGACATTTAATTGCTTAGGAGGGCGACAATGATCTCACTTAGGGATCCAACATTTTGATCGCCTTTGAGGGCGGCAAGGATCCCCCTTATGGATCTAGAATTTTGATCGTGTATGACGGAGGCAAGAATCCCACTCAGGGATCCAATATTTAATCGCGTCTGAGGATTTAAAGGATCCCACTTAGAGATCCAGTGTTTACAGTTGCCTCTTATGTCAAACTTCTTCCGAGCTTTTAGGTTTCCTGCAAAAAGGGAATAGCTAAGAAACACAGATTCTCTAAAATAATAAAATGAGGGGTCTCATTAAAAATCCTCATTATGTAAGCACAAAGGGAAATGAATGAACCCATAAAATAACACGTCCTTACAAACGACAAAGATACAATACTCGCCTATAAAAGTTAACAACAAAATAACTAAACAGTAGTAAAGAAAACAAATAAACTATAGTAATGCAAGTGGCGCCATAGGGTATTCCTTTTTCGGCCTTCAATCTTCAGTCTTCTCACTGGTTAAAGGGGGAGCCTTCTCGCCTCTACAGGTTTCTCCTGGCGGCTTTATTCATGAGCCCACTTTCCTAGCTTTTGCGCATAGAGTGTAAGCTTTCAACTTGAGGCTCTTTACACAAAATTTTCTGGCGATCTCCTGATCTCCTTAGATAACTCTTACTCATCTATTAGAGAGTATGTACTTCATGCATAAATAAAAATTGGACAAGGCGGCGTCCAACTAGTTAAATATTGGTTGCTCTATAATCATATTTTAAGAAGAGGAGGTATCAATAACCAAATACCTGGCCTTAATTTCTTTGGCTTGGTCGTACTCTTCAAAGGTGGTTTTCAGCGTGATGTATCCTTTTACTTGCATATGTTCACCAGAGAATCCAACTAGCAAGCCTTTGAACGGTTTTAGGTCCTCTGGGTCGAGGTTGTGTCTTTCAAATGCCTCATAATATAGAATATCTATAAAACTTACTTGGTCTACGAGGACTCTTGGATCCCCAATGTTTATCCCATTGATACTTCTAGACCTCGCTCTCTAGATTCTCTAACAAGTGGTATCATAGCCCAAGTTGACATGGTGTGAGCACAGAAGTGGATCTTAGTGTGGATTAAAGATAGTGATGTGGGTGACTCACATTTGTGGGGGAGATTGTTGGGTTTCAAATGTGAAAGTGTTAAAGTCCCACATCGAATAGGAATGTAGAAAATATTGGGTTTATAAGAGGGTAACCCATATCCCTATTGCCTTAAGAGTTTTGATGGATATGTGGCGTCAAGGTGTCTTGGATCCACAATGTTTGACCCATTGACACTTCCAAACCTTGCTTCTCGGACTTCCCAACAAGTGGTATCACAAAATTGGGTACTGGATGAGGCATATCTCGATCTTTGGCGTTTTAACTTTATAACTTTACGATAATTAAAAAAAATATAGAAGTAGTTTATTATGTAATCACAAATCTAGTTTAAAAAAATACTATAAAAGTGTTAAGAAATAATAATATGACCAAGTGTCATAGTCCATCTTTCATGATTTCAAGAACATCTTCGAAATCTGATTATCAACTTCATTTGTGCATACTATCGATCACAAACATCTTCTTTAAATATTTTTAGATTTAGAGGGGGTTGATTTAAAGTAGTATTTGAATTCTTCTTTTATCTTGATCAAAGATTAATAGACCAAACAAACCAAACTCTAATAGACTAATTGGTTGTAAAAGTTTTATATGAATGACATGAAAAAGTTGGAAGAAATTGAGTTTCATGTGCACTAAGCTACTACACTTAACAAGTAAGAAAGATCAAATTATGAAAGAGTTAATTGACTGTCAAAAGTGGAAACCATACATAGCAGAAAAGAAACATACACATATATTCATATACTTTGATATCTTGAAAGAACACAATCACCTCTTACATCTTTTGCATTAATTAGAGAAACTTTCCAATGATTTTGATGATGTTGAAAATTCCGGTATTGATCTTGGAGGAGAAAACATAACAGGTTTTGGTGGCATTTCCAAAGAATCCATGGCACCTTCCAACATATCAATAACTCTACTTATTGTAGGTCTATGAGTTGGAATTGTTTGAATGCACCATAAACCAACCATAGTCAATTTCTTAGCTATCTCATTTTCCTCATTCGACATTACCTCATCATCAAGCTCCAAATCATTCCCATCTTCAAGCTTCTTGTAAATCACCAAATGCGGAAAATATAACTCGCTCGACTGACTAGTTGCTTCAACAATGTTAACGTTCTTTCGTCCTCCAATCATTTCAAGCAACATCATTCCGTAACTATAAACATCAGACTTATGTGAAACTCCTCCGAAGCTTTTGTTGAAAACTTCAGGAGCTACATAACCAACCGTCCCTCTAGCGTTTGACATTGAAATAATGCTCTCGTCCCTCGTGCTTAGTTTAGCAAGTCCAAAATCGGATATCTTTGGACGATACGTTTCGTCCAGAAGAATGTTATGTGGTTTAATATCAAAATGTAGAATCCGAGTATTGCATCCTTTATGCAAATACTCTAGTCCTCGAGCGATCCCTATCGCAATCTGGTGCAAATTCTCCCAACTCAACGACGGATTAGGACTAGTTTTAGTTTTTTCGGTCTTCTCAGATTCTTTGTTGGAATTATGAATATACTTTTCGAGCGAGCCATTCGGCATAAACTCATAGATAAGAGCTTTCTTGGTTCCATCAAGACAAAACCCTAAAAGTGTGACAACATTAACATGTGATGTTTTGCATATACTTGCAACTTCATTGATGAAATCTTCACCACACCCTTTTGATTCATTCAACACTTTCACCGCAACAGAAACACCATTGATATTTCCTTTATACACCGAACCATAACCACCTTCTCCGAGTTTAACCTTGAACGATTCAGTCATTTTCTTCACATCTGAGTAATTGTATCTCTTTAGATTCAAAGGACCTTGACTCTCAAGAAAAGCTTCTATATGTTGATTATTCCTTGTTATTTTGCTGAACTGTGTCAATATAATCTTCCATATTTTCGCTTTATTTCGACATATTATGACAGCAATAAGAGGTAACAACATTCCGGTAGCTATGAAACCTATAACAAGCTTCAATACTTTGGTCTTCTTGCTACCTGAAAAGAAAAAGCACATAAAGTTCACAACTTTATTATATACTCTCTCATTATGAAGGACAATATTGTAAAATCATGTATAAGTTGTGTTTTTATGTAACAATTATTATATTTTTTAATTTACGTTAAATAAACAAAACTTCTTATAATTTAAGACGGAGGAAGTATTATTAATTGATTTGAACAAAATTGTCATGAAAATGAATATCTGGGTTGAGTTGGTATCTAGAACCAAATAAAGTGAGTGGTTTAAAGTTTGAAAAAATGTATCCACTTTTTAAATCATATTTTATACAAATATACATACACACATGTCTACAACAACAGTATTTTAATTTGTTTCCATGTGAGAGTTTCCATTAAATTACGCAGGAAGGTAATGAGATGTCAACATCTGTGGAAAAAAAGTGGAAATAATAGTCAAGTAAGGTGTGCTCTATGTGCTAATGTCCAATTTTTCATGACTTGTTTTTCAAACTATAATCTTTTATATAATTATTATTATTATACAGATGATGTTGATGATATTGTATGAGTTATGCACAGCTGCATATACTTTTTAAGAAGAAAATAAAAGGATTAGTGGGTAGCTGTACCAATAATTTGTATCAAATGTTGTGTTCGAAATCGACACGACAGTAACATATGTGATTATATTCAATTTTACAACAGTCACATATAGTTATATTTAATTATTTTATGAACGACCTTAACATATATATGTAATTAAATTAAATCATTTTTATTTTTATAAATTATTATTCGCGTATTCGTGTGAGAATGCTATGTTGTTTTTAATGGTGATTTCTGTATGTCAGATGTGAAATGTCAAAATCAGAAGAAAGAAACAAAAGTGGATAAAATGTGTTGAAATTTAAAATTTGTTTTCATGTAACAATCATAGTAAGCAATTTTCAGTGCTTAACGGCATCTAGTGCTGTCTCTCATGACACACATGATGCAATAATTTATTCCCTAAAATTTCAACACTATCCTATGAAGTCAATATGAACAGAACTATATCTCTAAATTATTTATAGTTGCTTCAAGTAATGATTAGAAACATCTCAATGGCTTGAAACATAAGAACTTGAATTTGTTAGGGTATCCAAAAATCATATAGTTAGTGTTTGTGTGGATAAGTAACTCAAGTAAATCAATTTAAATATTAGTTTAAATATGCATAATCCGCGAATGCGAATACAACGCGTATATATCATATTAGCAAAGTTCATTAGAGAGAATAATCTTAATCTTACAAGTCGATTTTATAAAGTTAAATTATCAGATTACAATTTTAAGATGATATCAAAATCTGATTCAATATCTAACATGTCGCATGCTATTAAGTTTTCGCTATTGTGCAATCTGTCATTTGTATCTACTCACCAAACATGAGTAGTATTGGGCGTGAGGATGATGACATGAACATATATTAGGTTCGACCACAATTTTTAGACCCGTGCATTCAAATTCAAAAAGGTTCAAGATTCAAGGGTCATATGCTATCAATTTTTCGTTATTAGGCCACTCATATTTTTATTCATGCACCAAATCTAATATGCTACTTACGCGAGGGAGATGGCATGAACTTATATTAGGTCAAACTACAATTCTAAGACTCAGTGCATTAAAAAAACGATATATTAGAGAAGAAAAGAGAGAATGCTTACTTTTGTGAGAAGAACACTTTGCAGCATCATGATTTCCACTTCCAGAAGGACAGTAACAAGAAAACTTAGAAGAATCATTCTGATTTGTACCACATGTTCCTCCAGATTCTCTACACTCTTCACACTGGGAGGACCACCCTACACCTTCATCATACTTCACATCAAATCCTCGTTCCAGCGTATGAACTCCACTCTCAGAATCCCAAACAACATCTTCAGAAACTTCAACTTGAAAACTAACACGACAGTTCTGAAATCCTAAGAACTGGTTTTGCAGCTGAGTTTCATTGTTGACAACATAGAAAACATGTTCACTGCTACTATTTTTCTCACATGTAAAACTGTTTATCTTTTTCATAACTGAACTACTCTCAATAGGACAATCATAGAATATAGTGAGATTTCGAACCGTTGAAAGAAAACTAAAGGGAGTTCTAATCAAAGAAGTGTTGGTGAAATTCGAAGAACAGATATCATTAACAAGATCGGTTCGAACAATTCTCATGGTAGAAGCATTTTGGTTAATGTCTAGTACATTGAACTTTTGTGAACCAATTTGAATAGAGGTGTTTTCATCATGCATGCAAGTGAGTTTAAACTCATTTTTGCCGCAAAAACTCGGTCGATTATTTCCCCAGAAAGGAAATGAGACATTTGTGTTAGTTCCACAGGTGAAATAGGATTGGTTGCAAGTAGAAAATGTGTCATTTTTTTGAGAGTGTGATATTGGCAAAGTTGTTGAGAAGAAAACAATGGTGAAAAATATGGATGCAAAAAAGGAGAAGATATTCATGGTTGATTGGTAGAGGTTGAGATGAGAATGAAGGGATATTTAAGAAGAGAAAATTGGAAAAGTGGAAAAACAACAAAATAAAGGATGGAGGATTTTGTGGTGACTATATTGTAAGATATATTATTGTTATTGGCGTGCTAGTTGGAAAATTCATTATTTGAAATGAAGACTTATAAGTGGAAAAGAGTAAGATGTTGACTTATTGTGTAGATGAGAATTGACAGATGCAAAATGAAATTTGGTTAAGAAAAAGGATATGTGGCACTAGATTGGGAAGGCGGTGGGAAATTGATAAGTACTTTGTGTGTGTGTATATATAAATAACTTGCTGAAATATGTGTTTAAAACTTAAGTGAAAAATATTACTCATAGTATAATATAGTATAATAAAATAACTAATTTTGTTTAAACAGTAAAAAAATTTAAACCTAATAAATTTTGTTTAGGAATATATCATACAGTAAAGTAAATTTAATAAAAAAAATAAAACTATTTACTCGTATTACTATTTACGATATATTATTTACAAACATTCGTCTTAAAAGTGTTGAATGAATATCAATTTTTAATTTTGTAGAAAATATTACTATAAATAGTATATTTCATGACAAAACTTTCATTTCACCTAACAAAAAATCGAAGTATAATTTAAGGACGTGTGATGTTTTATTTATATTTTTAAAAAATATCATATATTTCCTCTGTTTTTTAATATAATCGAGCTAAAAACTAATTCAGGATATGATTTGAATTCCAGCAAATACAATTTTATGTTTTTTTTCTTCTTTAAAACTGATGTCTTTCTTTTTATTTTATTTTTTATTTATAAGTTAAATGATCTATTCATTCGATTTCTTTAATAACCTAGGAGTTAGATAATCTGATTTTACTATAAAAACATTCATTCATTAAAATTTTTCTTAAATTTAACTCATCTATAGCTGCGCCAAACTCGTACACCATTGTTTTGGGATGGATTGCAAAATAGAAAAAAAATTCAAGGTTTTGTGTTGTATGTTGTTCTTCTAACACCAACTTTAAACATTTTTTTTTCTTTTACTTTTGCAATCTATATTATGGTATTGTTGTTGTTGTTGTTGTTGATGGTGGTATTGTTGTTGTTGTTATTGTTGTTTTTAACTCTTGCAAAGACATTGTTATATTTTGGAATAACCGTCATATATTGTCAGTCAAAGAAAATATTTTATAATTTATTATTTTCTTCGATTGACAACATTGAAAAAATTATTCTTAACTATATTGTAAATTGAAAGCAATCTTGTTGTTTCACAATACAAGTTCTTGAAAATTTTGTTTTGAATATTGCAGCACACAAAATAAGTGGTAAATGGTAAAAAAGTTAAAAAGAAAACAATACATGTTGCTTTTGATTTTTTACCATTCACCATTTTTTTTCGTAGTTCTTTTATAAAACTAGGGGGAAAGTCTCTATTTTAATTTATTTTTTAATTAAAAAACAAATAACCTTTCCTCTCAGTTTTATTAAAGAACCACAGGTTATAGTTACTATGTTAACCTACAACGAATCAATGTTCTATATTCATAAAGTAACTGTTGTGAATCTTGTTGTGAATTACGAAAAAATTCAACATCAATTTGTGAGGCAAAGAACAATAGCAACCAAAATAAATGGTCTTCAGCAATAATAATTCGTACACAGATAATATAACAGAATAAGACAAGAAAAAACCGAAGGTTCATTTACCCAGTTCGACCAAACGATCTACTCTGGGAGAGAGAGAGCAGTTCTCCAATTCGCTATATTAAAGTTATTACAAGAGATTAAAAATGAGTTACAAAAAAATAGTCTTCGCCTTCAGGGTCCCAAGAACAACCCTGAATGTTCCCAAGAACAACTCTATTTTCTACCCAAGTGTTTCCCTACCTTTCCAACTCTCAATATATGAATCACTCAAACCCAAGGTGTAATCCAAGTTTTTCTTTGTGCGTAGTTGAAACCCTATGCTATACCTTTAAACCCTTGATCTCACTTGTTGGTGAAAACTCTAAGATTGTCACACGCCAAGCATATAAGAGATACATATTTATAATAGCAAATACTCAACAAGCAAAGCCCAAAGTCACATGGATCCATTGACCGAATAAAAAAACCTAAAAACTCAAAAACTCTATTAACCATACGGACAACACTATTCACCGTACATATGACACTATTCACCGACCATTTTTTTTCATGACTTTTCTTCTGACTTTCTAAAATTATTGATTTTCACGGTAAATGCAATCTCCAAAATATGTTTTCTTTCTCTTCATCAACAAATATTTTAAGGCACATTTACAACAATCTCCACCTTGACTTTAAACTATGTTGATACCAATCAACAACATTGTTGCTCTCTACCAAGTTGAAACTTTAATCAATAACTTTGATCAAATTCTAGCAACTCTTGAATCTTGATCTCACAACTTGCATCCACTTGTTCCCAATTACCCTTTTCTACCTAGGTAATTTAACAAGTCTACAAGTATGATTTTTTAACCACCCTTGACTCCACCTGTTTTCAAATGCCTCCCTGAAGGTTTTTCTTCTTTTATTTTACAGTCCTTCAACCACATTAAAAACATAATATTCACGGCTAGCATAACCAGAATTTTTTACATTTGTGCCCTAGTATTGGAACATATACTCCAAAATGCCACTTTTATACAAATATATACTGAAATGCCATACTTTCAAAAACGAAATTTTTTTTGGTTGAAGGCAACCGCCCATTCATTGGGCGGAAATGTGAGAATTTAAAGGCAACCGCCCATTGGAAGGGCGGCAGTGACCACACATAATTTTTTTGGACTGAAAATATATTTTTAAATATTAATATATATAATTATTAATATATATTATTATAAAAATAGAATAATAATATAAATTTTAATATATGTTAATATTAATATATATTAATATTTATATTAGTAATAATATAAGTATTAATATATATTATTATAAATATATCTTAATATATGTTTTTAAATATTAATATGTATTATTATTAATATATATTATTATTAAAATAGATTAATAATACTAATTTTAATATATATTAATATTACTAATAATATTTTAAAATTATATTTATAATACTAATAATACTAATTTTAATATTAATATATATTTATAATACTAATAGATACTTGTGGGACCCTCGAAACCAACCAACTTCATCAAACTTTCAAAACACCCCCTCCATGACTTATGACACCCAACCACCAATATTTAACACCCCACAACAAATATTTAACACCCCACAACAAATATTTAACACCCCATTCAACCCAAACCCAACACAACCACCTTATACCCAAAGCCAGCACTACAATCAACCTTACACATATTTTAACCCAAACCCCTTCAACATCCAACAACAAAACCCAACCTCATCATACACCCAATATAACCAATTCTCATTCTCTCAACCTACCCAACAAGAACATAACTACCAAACACCCCAACCACAAGTTCCCTTTTACCCTTCACAAAACTTCACCCTTTCTCAAGACCAACATCCATACACACCCTACATGACTAACGTGGCGCCACCTATAAATCCACCAACTTGGAGTAATGAGGGTACGAGATTAAGTTATGGAAGTGCGGCAGCGATACCAGCTGACGACGATTTCAATGATGATTTGGTCGCTCAATTCATGAACCCTAACAATGATGCAGGACCATCTACGCAGACCCAAAACGCTGAGGTTGATCGTAGAAGGTCCACCAGAAATGTACAAGCTCCTGCCTGTGGAACCCACCAACGCTTACGTCGACCGGGTCGAAATTAGTTAAGGGTCAATAGAAATTGTAATGTACATATTAAATTTCAAAAATTAATAAATATTTATTTTAGTTCTTTTATTGTTATTTATTTTATAAATATTATTATATATTTCTAATTCAGTTATAATTATTACTAATTAATTTAAATTAATTAAAACTAAATACATTATTTCCACATCAATTATTATTATTACTAATTAAATTGAAAATAATTAAAACTAAGTATTTTAAAATACATTATTTCTAATTCAATTATTATTGTTAATAATTATTATAGTATAATAATAATAATAATAATTATTGTTATTAATAATAATAATAATTATTATTATTATTATTATTATTATTATTATTATTATTATTATTATTATTATTAATTATTATTGTTATACTAAATAATAAAAAATAACATAAAACAAAAAAAAAAAAAAACAGTGCCCTCAACCGCCCATTGAAAGGGCGGGTGTCTTTAAAACACAACATGACCGCCCATTGAAAGGGCGGCAGTGCCTTAGCTTTGTTTGAAATCATGGCATTTTGGTATATAGTTTGAAAAGTGTGGCATTATGGAATTTTATTTGTAAAAAAGTGGCATTATTGAAAAAAATTCAGCATAACCGTCCCTTTGAGATGCTATAATAACCCTTCTTACCTTATCATGATTCAAATGATAATCAGAGATCTCTGTAACCATTTCCTCACTATTGCTAGCATCCATAGTAGGAAACTCCACCTCAAACTGAATTTTCTCCGTTATAGTTTCTCCCTTGGTTTTCACTATTCTTCTTCTGAAGAAACTCTCTACCAACCAAGTAAGTTATTTTAACCTCGACTCTTTCCTAAAAACTCAATAACAACTCAGCGGTAACATGCATTTTCATCCCTTGATTTCTGCAAAATTCATTGTAGTCCTTTGAAACTTTCTCAAGGCATTCATAACGCCTTAAACTCAAATCTCGTAGCTCTTCCTTGTCATGAAAGCCTCCACTAGCTAACGATGAATGAAGAATAACATTTGAACCTTAAAAAATATATAAACCACATATTTTAGACCCTTTAACAATAATCAATTCATCACGCAAAATATTCAATACTCCATGTTCAACTCTATTACAATAGCCTAGATCATCGAACATACTTATAGATAACAAACTTCGCTTGAGTTCTAGAACATATCTCAAATTGT